CACAGTCGCGAATGTTTCTATATACCAAGAAGCATCAACCACTGTTCTACTCCTCCTACACTACTACGACATCTACTTAAGCATAAACAAAAACTACAGTAACCAAATCAAAAGATAACGTGGTTAGTATCTCGTGGTTACCAATTGCTTTAAGACAGCCATTGTTACGTGTGGTGCCTGCCTGCCTGCCTGCCTACACAACCACTACTAAGAAGTATCTGTGTCGAGGACTTGCGGCTATGCTAATCATTTATCTCAACACACACACACACACTTATAAACCTGCTTCAGAACTGTGGTTACTAATGGCTTAAGACAGTCGTGGTTACGTAGTTGCATGATGATAATGTGAGAATACTTGTGTCCGTTTAATGGTGATATATTTATCTCATCACGGAGAAATAAACTTGCAGGGAGATTGTATCTTGTAACTAATGGATTCATACGACCTTTTATTACGTATGTCCTGTCTGTATGCAAGAGCTACCTACAGTGAGGCATGCTTGCGTCAGGGGGAGGAGAAACTGTGCTATAAACGTAATTTATTTTAACATGTAGGAATAAATTTAGTTGTGGTTTTAGAAATGTTTTCTCATGACTATTATTTCGACTTGTTCGGCTACAGTGTGTACAATCACCCGAGAGGAATATTTTTGCCTCACACTCTACTACACATTTCCTCGTAGTGTGTAGAAAAAGAAATGCATTTAACTTATCAGAATATATTTTTAAATCTCTTCCCCCACTGCAGTGTTGACATAGGGAGTTGATATTCAGGTAATTGTATTTAATCTGAGTAGGTTCTCTATCTCGTCACTAATTAAAACACAGGTGTGGCTATAATGAAACGTCCACATTACCTGCTGTTTATATCCCAGGTAGAGCCCCACTTACATTCTCACCTGTGTGTGTGTGTGTGTGCCTTGATCAATTCACCTGGTTTTTTTTTTACACCTACATTAATTCTGAGCTGATATATACACTTACACTAGATGTTTGTTAATATATAATAGGCTTCTTTTCTGTTCTGATTCAGGTACATATAATGTTATGTGATTATTTTGATATTTTAAAATAGTTTTAGTTAGTATTTTTTTGTTGTAACGTTTTCTTTGGTGACATTATCTTTGGTGACGTTTTCTTTGGTGACGTTTTCTTTGGTGACGTTTTCTTTGGTGACGTTTTCTCTTTCTGCCATTCTCTTCGTTTAATTTGTTGTATTAGACGTATCAAGGAATGGAGGGAATGAAGTGAGAAGAGGAATGGAGGAAATGAAATAAGAAAAGGAATGGAAAGAATGAAGTGAGGAGACTAATGGAGGGAAGGAGACATAGAAGAAAGGAAAGAATAAGGAGAGATGTGGCTGTGAAGGAATAGGAGAAGTGAGAGTAACAAGGGAGACAACACAGGACTGATAACTGTGGAGATGGAAGAGCGGAGAAGGTGACCTCACTACAGACGTGGGATGCATAAGGCACAGAGTAATAATAGAACAAACAAGAAAGAAAGAAAGAAAGAAAGAAAGAAAGATATTGATTGTTGTTTTTTTAAAGATTTTTATCACGTTGATGGAGTGTATATAAGCTTGGGTCAAGACAGTGATAAGTGCACTGATCTGAATGGTATAGTTGTACTGAGAAAGACGTGACCTGAGATGTTTATGATTTCATATATATATATATATACAGTACATTAGTGTTGAATAAGATACGAATTTATAGGTTTATAATTATGTACTGAATCAGGTGTAATGGTACTTTTCTATATAATGGTTAGGTTAGGTTAGCCATAGACGATTCTAAAAGCGGGTTTTTATCATAATTAACACATGATTCTAAAAGATTATTTGTGGTGATGAAATATGTTCACTTTAACTCGATGCTAATCAATATTATTTATACTACCATAACGAAAGACCGTACAATCGATATAACATCTGACTTAAATATCAATATTTGTGAATTACTGATATATAATTATTAGTATCAATATAGTATACCTATTTGAGTGAATATAACAGCAACGTATATTTGTATTCATACATGTATAAGCTTGGTACATTGGTATGCATACATAAAAATACATATCATAAAAGAATATATCGTACAGTACAGATACAAGTTCAATAAACCACAAAGTATAAACGTGAGGGAACTCTATGATCTCCCTTTAAGGTTCAGTTCATCGCTAACATCAGTTAAGGGTCTGTTGCATCAGTGATTCTTTTGTCGCAACACTCCATGGCTGACACTGTATCTATTTTCCTTTTTAATTGTCATGGATCTTATTATTTCATTTGTTTTTTAATTAAGACAACGTAGGTGGTGCCTCTGATAATCTTTGTTCAATGCAGGTGAATTAGATCACATTTCTTGAAACAGTTATGCATCACCAACAAGTTTATTGTATCTATAGAACTCTCGATTCTATAATAAACTATACTTTACTGTATTTATTCTTGAAACAATTGAGCATCGTTAATAGGTACACAGAATGTATAGAGCTCTCTACCTTATATTAAACTAAATCTGTTTGTCCTTATTCTTGAAACAACTGAGCATCAACATGTTATAAACACCCCTAAGTATTATCATGTCACCTATTACTCCATGACCGAAAAAAAGTAAACAAACCTTAAAGTCACTTCACATACCATTGAAATTATTAAAAGATATTCCCCTTGCTGGCCAATTAACGTTATTTATACAGTGAGGAATTAATTAGCCGAAACTAATGGATTGAGAAGGTGGAGCGGTGCAAGAGTTTACACCATGGAGAGGCTTAATATTGTTTTGGTAAAGAGGTCAACACAACACTCATCTAATTAACCCCAATTGGATATTAGAATCAGAGAACGGATGAACAAGCTTACGAGTTAACAGGTTAGGTTAGGTTTGGTTATGTTACGTTAGGTAAATATACCATTGTTCAGGAAGTGATGGTACCATTGTGAGGAAAGCTGACACAGTACAGTACCATTATTCAAATAGATATCGTACCAATGTTCAGAAAGACGACTGCGTCATTGATCAGATAGAGACAGCGCTGTTGTCCAGGCAGGTACGGTATTACGTCATCGAGAGTGTGCTTACGTTAATGCGACTAGTTAACTCAGTGGTCGACCCAACTTGACCACAACCACACCGGGAGTAAGGGATTGGACCCTCTTGTTGCTTCAGGATGTGGTGTTGGATCCTCTATCCTGCCTGAAATGGAAGATTAAGGAGATAAGGAGTTAGGGAGACAATATTGTGAGGTTGACAGCAGGGTTAGGCTGACAGAATTGAGGGTCTGACAGTAGTGTGAGGCTGACAGTAGTGTGAGGCTGAGAATAGTGAGGGGCTGACAGAAGTATGGGGCTGACAGTATAATGAGGGGCTGATAGTGGCGTTGTGACCATATAGTGACAGACGACCGAAAGGAAAGTGTATGTTAATGTTGCTAATGTCTGATGGTGATGAGAGAGAGAGAGAGATGGATGGAGTTAACGTGCAGTATAAGAATGTAAAATTAATTGAAGGTTTGAAAAGAGCTGAGAATGAGAACATGGAGAGGGAGGTGAAAGGGAAGGAGTGAGTGAATGTAAGAGAGATAGAGAGAAGTGAGAATGAGAGAGAAAGAGAGAGAGAGAGAATGTTGTAGAATGATGAATGAAGATGTAGATGGTGTGAGAATGTGCAAAAGAGTGGAAGAAATTAGGCCACCTTAAGAACAAGTATAAGAGGTGAGGTGAAAGGAAGGGAGAGAAGGAGGGAGGGAAGAGAGGGAGGGAGAGGGGAGGAAGGGAAGGAAGACGTGGGCCGAGAACGAGGAGGAAGGGAGAATAAGGAGGAGGAGAGAAAGAGTAAGAGGGAGATCAAGAACAAATGCAAGAAGAAAGCGAAGAAGAGGGAGAGTTAGAAGAACACCGATAAGAAGGGAGAAGTGAGGAGAGAACAAGGATGGAAGAGTAAATGTGAGGGAGGGAGGAGAAGGAAGGAGGGAGAGATGGAAGGAAGGAGGGAGAGATGGAAGGAAGGAGGGAGAGAGGGAAGGAAGGAGGGAGAGAGGGAGGGAAGGAAAGAGAGAGGGAAGGGAGAATGAAGAAGAGAACAAGGTTGGAAGAGTAAATTTGAAGGAGGGAGAGAGGAAAGGAAGGGGGAAGAGAGGGAAGGAAGGAGGGAGAGAGGGAAGCAAGGAAAGAGGGAGGATGGTTGTTAGTATGGATGAGTGTGTTGTGTTGTGTAAGGTTGAGGAAATGCTTGGTGAGCCCCCCTCCTCTCTCTCCACACCTCCTCACTCCTCCCCAAACCTTCTCCCCACCACACCTCCTCCCACCATATACACACACACCAAGGTATACATGACCAGAGAACTCACCCAAAGCACACACACACACACACACACACACACACACACACACAAAAGGTATAATAGTACCGAGGGAGAGATAGTACCAATGGGGAGATAGTACTGAGGGGTGATAGCACCGAGGAGAGATAGCAATGAGGGGGGGGGGGGCAGTGTGGCACCATGTACACCACTGCACAAGGGCGTGTGGAGGCCGAAGGTGTAAGTATCTGGAGGGGGTGGAGGAGGAGGAGGGACCTTGGCTTATCTCTGTGGACAAACGTCTTCACGCATCACCTTGAGACTCCTGGTCATCTTCACGTTCACTCTTACTTCTACACTTGGCCTTTATAACGAAAAAAAATATATATAATTAATTGGTAAATCATTATTAGTTTGTTAGTGCGAGTAAAAGATATAAAGATTGTGAGCGGCCGTGGTGGCATTCGTCCTGGCTGGTGCCCCGATGAAAGTAAAAGGGGTGGATGTAAGCGTATCGTTGGTTGGTGGGTGGAGGCAAGTACCTGCACGCTGATTGGTTACGTCTAGGATGAAACTGAAAGCGGGGAGGCTCATGAGTGGATCCGGCGGGGTGTGGGGGGTGGAGCCCCCACTTATAGTCCCTCCATATATATAAGAAGAGCTAATATACCGCAGCACCTTATTGTTGGTTTGCTATATGTGTTGGATACTTGTCTTGGAGGGAAGACCGTCAGGTGAGTTGCTTGTGTAAACAGGAGGCGATAAAGGGGGCATCTCAGATGGTGCCCCGCTGTATAACACTACCCGTGCGGAGGAGGAGGAGAGTCTCAGAATAATTATAAAGTGAAAACTAGCTCGGCAGTTGGTTTGTGCCGCGTCGACCAGCAGTGTTGATAGTGCAAGTGACGAGGTGGAGGAAGCAGGACGCCCCCAGACGTTACACCGTTAGCTACCTGAGGCACCGCCGCCACTCGACCAGCCAGCCAGGCACACTGACCCACTCCCGTCTTCAACCCCCGTCGCCGCCGCCTCACGGTACACTGTCTAGCACTAACTGGGTATACTTCGTCGTGCTGTGGTTACTTCATCGTGCTGTGGCTACACTGGATCTTCCTGGTGTTGGAAACGACTTGTAAATAAATGAATATTTGTAATATCAAGGAGCGAAAATAATGAAGTGACTTAATTGGTGATTTCAATTCAGACAAAAGTAGTAATCCTCAGTGTGTTTCCCGGTGTAATCCTCAGTGTGTTTCCCGGTGTAAAATTCTACTTTCATTATATAATTTAATATTAGGTCACAGTACATGCGGAAAGACAATATAATAAACAGCTAAAGAATAACGTAATATGCAAACAGTTGTCAGTGTTCGTGTTTACATCTTTTTTTAAGAATTGTAAACACTAACTTTTGCCAGATGATTCGGCGATATTTTCCTCCAGCAAATGTTAACTAAAAGCGAAATTGTGACACAGCGCTATCGTAAAGTACATGAAGTAGCGCTAACAGACGAAGAAATATAAAAATACATTTATAATATTGATGTACGCAAAAATATACATAATTTTGTAGTATAATGACCAAAGTATTTTCATGGTTTATTCGAGGGACTGATGATGTTTTTTTCATTTAGTGTTGTGTTATTTTGTATTTCTTTTTTCCTGCGTATTTTATCCTTTAGAGTTTTAGTTTGTGTTCTTCGTTTCATGTTTTAGTTCCTTTTTGTTCTTTACGTTTTACTTCCCTTTTCCTCTCTCTCTCTCTCTCTCTCTCTCTCTCTCTCTCTCTCTCTCACTCTCAGCGTCCTTCACCTGCCTGACCATCAGCTTAGACTCTTCCCACAATATCTTCACAACACAGTGCTTATAATGTTAAGGCAGGTGTGTGTTAGTGTCAATTACCTGTATAAATCACGTCAGGTGTGTGTTGGTGTGGCCACTACCTGTATAAATCACTTCAGGTGTGTTGGTGTGGCCACTACCTGTATAAATCACGTCAGGTGTGTGTTGGTGTGGCCACTACCTGTGTAAATCACTTCAGGTGTGTTGCTGTGGCCACTACCTGTATAAATCACTTCAGGTGTGTGCTAGTGTCTGTTACCTGTATAAATCAAGTCAGGTGTGTGTTAGTGTCAATTACCTGTATTAATCACGACAGGTGTGTTGGTGTGGCCACTACCTGCACGTTACACCTGTATAATTTCTAAAGTCTGATGCGTAATGTGTGTTAGTGATCGCCCAAATGGACCCCAGACCTCATAAAAAACAAGTCCTGATAGGCCCCAGTCTTAACAGGGCTCAGTGGTAATGGGACCAAGTGTTGTTTGGTCGATCCGGTCGTATTGGGTCTCAAACCTAATAGATCCCAGTTGTAATAGGCCCCAGTTACAATAGGTCCCAGTCTTAATGGGTCCCAGTTCTAATAATTCCCAGTCTGATTAGGCCCCAGTTACAATAGGTTCCAGTCTTATTGGGTCCCAGTTGTAATAGGTCCTAGTCTTAATGGATCCCAGTTGTAATAGGTCTCTGTCTTAATGGGTCCCAGTCTTAATGGGTCCCAGTTGTAATAGGTCCCTGTCTTAATGGGTCCCAGTCTTAATGGGTCCCAGTTGTAATAGGTCCCTGTCTTAATGGGTCCCAGTCTTAATGGGTCCCAGTTGTAATAGGTCCCTGTCTTAATGGGTCCCAGTCTTAATGGGTCCCAGTTATATCAAGTCCCCTGTGTCTTATTGGGTCCCAGTTGTAATAGGGTCCATGTCTTAATGGGTCCTCTCCCTCACACAGGTCCTCCCTCACACACACCAGGTTCCTCTCCTCACACCCAGGTCATCTCCCTCACACACCCAGGCCCTCTCCCCTCACACACACCCAGGTCCTCTCCCTCACACACCCAGTCCTCTCCCTCCACACACCCCAGGTCCTCTCCCTCACACACCCAGGTCTCTCCCTCACACACCCAGGTCCTCTCCCTCACACACAGGTCCTCTCCCTCCCACACCCAGGTTCTCTCCCTCACCCCACGCGGCAAGACGATGGAATTCCCAGAAATAATCTTCATACCCTTAACCAGCAACACCTCCCAGTACTACTTACAGCACACCGCTCCTAGTCGTAGAATCACTGTGACATACACACACACACACACACACACACACACACACACACACACACACACACACTTCTCTGTGG